GTGACGTAATCGGCCTTAAAATGCGGCCTTTAAGGCTGCAGACCCTGAATTGGGATACAGCCTTTCACACCCATAAGCTGTGTCCATCTGATAAATACAGTTTGTGTCTGTGCCTCGTTTAACAGCGTTGTATAACATAGACCTGATTACACCAAGGTATATACTGTAGACCTGACTTTTGGATCTTGGATAAATGGCTGCCAGCAGTGGAAGTGAACCTACGGCGGTGATTTAGATCAGGGCGTCATGACTGTGAAAATAACCTCATAAAGGAACAGCAGTGGCAGGTAAAATGTTAAACATCACAGGTTTCCTCACAGATTCTGAGCCCCCCCGCTCGGTCTCAGTGAAGAAACACTGGCTGCTGGTGTGAAGTCATCCATGAACAAAGAGCCGGCAGGGTGTGAGACGGTGAATAATCTCATGTCACGACAACCGGGATGCATTTCGCTGCAGCCTCGGGCAAATTATCAACACTCACCTTGTGGAGACGTAAGGTGGGGGGGACGTGTGGCCCGTCAGAGACGCTGCACAGACAAACCGCAGAGAGGATGACTCTCAGGCAGCTTCTCACAGAGGTGGCCTAAATACTGAGCCGGGCTAATTTTAGATCAGGTCTTTGTTTTCAGTTTAACAGGATAAAAAACGATTGTATTCATGAGGATGAGGAGAATTAAGATTATCTTCTTTTCCTCACAGTGTTTGAGTTCTGAGAGACAAGCTGCAGTTTTCTCTGAATATCATTAGAGTAACTTTAATACAAAGCTGCCCTTTGTCAGAATTTCAAGGCACAGCCAAAGAGATGCAGTCACGTCTGTTCACAATCACGGTGGATTTTAAATCAAACCATTAAAGATGTGATTGAAGCGCAGACTTTTATCTCTTTTTCCAAGAGTTTAGCAAAATATTTGCAAACGAAAACAAACTTGGCAACATTTAACCCAGTCAGGAATTTGAAGAGATGATAGATTTATGATTGTCAAGGTCTGTCAAAGGGAAACCACCATAAATGGAATTAAAAACAAGGCGCAAAGCACAGAACAAGAGCCTGAACGGTTATTTCAGCTGCTTTTCTGTTTGGTAGCCATCCTTTGATGAACTGGTTCATCTCATGGAAATTTTCTTCACTTCTTTTTCCCTTTGAGACTCAAAGTGAGTCACGTTGTTATATTCTCCTCTGCACAAAAAAAGACCCCCGCCAGCGTCACTCCATAAGAACTACATTCTCCCCCGTCTTTCCTTTTCTTTGCAGTAGTTTCTTCGAGTTCTGCTGAAATCTGCACAGCGTGCGGTTTGGTGTCGACTCGAAATTTTCCCTGTTCAGAAAAGAGTGGGCAGCCAGCACTTAACCTATGACGACAGTCTTTTCTGCTTTCACAGGCATTTGTAAAGTCTGGCTTTTACCTAAAGTGCCCGGCCTGCGGTGTTCACTTTAGAGCCGATCAAGATGTCAGACATCGTCTCAGCATGCGAGCCCGGAGGACAAAGAAGAAAAATGCGGCGCATCTCAGAAAATCATCAGAAAATCACAATGAATATATGAAAACAGAAAAAGTGATGTAGTGATGTCTTGAGTTACAGAATAAAACTGAATCTACCAAATAACAGTTGAAGTGTGGTCACTTCCGGACCAGTGGAACCTCACCACAGGAGCCATTTAGTGGTTTTCAGGAGCCTCAACTTACATTATCCAGTCATCCATCCCTCTTCTTCTACTTATTCAATTTAGGGTCACAGGAAGGCTGGAGCCTATCCCAGCTGTCCTCGGGCCACTTAACCTAACATCAGGTCTGGACTGTGGGAGAAGCCGGAGAAAAACCACGGCGCAGGGAGACTCAGCAGCAGCCCGGTGGCCACTCACCTTCATGGTACTGATCCCTCCCCCAAGTGATGTGAAAAGTCAAGAATTCACTTTTAACCTATTTTTAAAAATATTTTCACCAAAGAAAATTAAAAAAATGAAATAAGCGGGACACATAAAAGCTAAATTTCACAATGAAGAGTTTTATTATACAAAACTTGACTATTTGTAGAAAATACAAATATCGCTGAAGTTGACGGGCGACGCCCATCGATCAGTTTTTAAGGCCTTCCATAAAACAACTCAACACCTTTTAAATGTTTATTTTACAAAACTTTTTTTTTAGCAATTATGAAAAAGCCATGGTAGGTAGAAGCTGAGAGACTGATTTCTAACACATCATAGAATAAAATCGAGTGTAGATACTACACACCTGCGTACAAAAACGCTGCTTCGGCCGAGCAGAACACCTGTAATTACAGCACAACATGGTTCAAAACCACAAAATAAAAAGAAACATTAAAACTAATAAAAGACGTTTTCTCCACAGAAATCAAGCCTCCAAACAAAGAGGAGACATCTGCAGGGAGTGTAGTGAAAGACATCATCTCAAGGAAACGACACACGGTTTCGACTATTTCAGACATCTGAAGAAGGTTTCAGATACTTCTGTGTTTCCTTTTCTCCACTTATTTTCCTTAATACTGTTATTTATTTGCATATGTACAAAAAAGGCACCAACACAGACAGGCTGAGAGGTCTGACCCTGAAAACTCATGTGTAAAGGCTCTCTGAATCAAAAAGTGTTTACATCAGATTTCTCTGAAAGAAGAGAAGGTGTTTATATTTGGTTTGTTTTGGAAATCATGTATGAGAGGTGTGGATGATTAGATACTCCAGATATCAAATATTATTTGAGTCTGTTAAAAAAAAGAAAGATAATTCCTGCAGTATGAAAGGAGAGTTTTAAAGTGCTGAGTCACAAACACGCAAACAGCAAAATCTGTTACTACAGCTGCTTAAAGACCAACGTCTGACCCCAGACATGTCATCAAGCTGGCTGCATGTGATGCTCAGCTGGCGACTGTAATAAATGAGACGATCACCATCAGCTTATGGTTCAGTTTACAGGCAGAGTCCACAGTTTGTCTGTTTTTAGGTGGAAACTGCGACTGAGAACGACTCCGTGGATAAACTGAGGAGCTGCCTCACGCTCGCCTGAGGATGACAAGTTACCGCTTGGCTTCCAGAGTCCATTGACACAGACGCTACACCGATCGCTGTTACTGAGCGAAGCAATGCAAGAACAAGGCCGCCGTATTGTTCAGGAGGCTCTGGGCTTCTAATGCTTTACATCTGTGAAGGAAGAGACCTACGCATAATTAAAAATCATCAGAATTTGCTGAAATTTCAACTGATTTTCAAGCAGTTACAAACGCTTGAATGGGTTTACCAAATTTTAGAATCATAGCTGATTATTTTCAGCTCTGTTTTGATGTCAAATATAAAAGTGGGACTTCTCCATCATTGAATCCAGTTTATCTTCCTGTCAAGTACTTTACATGAAAGTTGCAGACGAGGGATTCAGTCTCACGATAGTCTTCAGACTTTATCTTTTAGGAATCTGCACACAAATCAGCAGTTAT